TTTATCAGGAAGGGAAGCAGCAAATCCCAGGCCAGCCTTATTGTCAGTGAGGTTGAGGTCACAGAGCAAATAGATGACAGGACTGTCTGGGGAGGGGTGGAGGGTGCAGCTGGCTGGATTGGGTAGATAAAGGCCTTTAATTTGCTCATCTTTGTATGTTTAAAATGGAAAGATTTCACAAGCATGTCTTTAAAATGTTACTTAGACCAGGTATATTGACTCAGGATCACTTGGTAATCTGAGTAATCTACCCATACTTGTAAGAGAATCAACAGCCTCTTGGGGAGTTTGGTTTTCAATATCAGCTGGATTTCATAGCTCTCTGCAATTAATTTAATAAAGTGGAAATTATTGGAATTTGTACATATTCCTTTAAATTACTTTCGTGTTTATTGGAAATACAATTTCACCTGGTGTTTACATTTCTGTCTGAAGAAATCACTAAAAGAAAAATGCCCATTATAATCCAGAGTGGTTGGTTCATAGCAGCTTTCATTTCCAACATACACTTCCTAAAATACTTTCATATGATTATAAAACAAATTTTTATTGGTTTAAAAATACTGTATTTTGCTTCCTCTGGCCCTTTCTACCAAATAATGTTTATCTTTTATTTTTTGAAACTGTAGACTCTGTGGACTCTCCAGTAACCATCAGGTTTGCTGCTACTGGTGACTTAATTTTTCTCTTTACCTAAGTTATACATGGAATATACTATATAGTTAAAAAAAAGTCTCCTTAGGCCTCCTGGAGATCTTACAGGCAGGTGAACTGTAGCAGAGGTGTTACTCGTGTACCTCTAAATTCTTTTCAAGCTACAAATATTTGATACTTCTCTTTTGCATGGTTTGGCCTCATGCCCAGGGGCACGTTCCATTGAATGTATCAGTTGTCAAGGCTGAGAGGTCCAGAAGTTGTCCTGGAGACATTTCTTTAGCAGTAGAATAGACCTGTGTTTTATAATGTATACTGATAGACGGTAGAACACACAACTCATCATCTCTGTGTCTGCCTCGAAATCAGGTGGGGAGCGCACCGCTACCTTACAGGACTCTCTCTCTCTCTCTCTCTCTCTTTTTTTTCTAAATTCTTCCTTGACATTTATAAGTCTTTATTAGTTGAGTAATAACATGTCAATTTTTGCTTATGCTGATTAATCAAATAGAAAAAATATTTTAGAATCCATTATAAATATTTAATTTAAGACTCAAAATATAGGAGCTTTATACTACTTTATAGAATTCTTATTTTTGTTGACTGATAAATAGAAGCAGAACTTTTAGTAAAGAAGATACTAAATGTATTATGATATATATATTAATTTCCAAATCTCTTGTATATTTTAAAGCATATTTTTCAAAATAACTTTGAAAAATCCATTAATATAGAATGATTGTTTTTAATTATAAAATAGATAGAATAAAGAAACTAAAAGTTGCCGATATTGGATGTGAAATCTAATATAAAAGATGGAGAGGCTTTATAGATTTATTTTGAATTTCTTCTCTGTGTTTTTTTATGTCATTTATTATGTCCACTTTTATTTAGCAGTTTACTTATTAATGCTTTGTTTATGTTCTATGGGGTATTCTTTTTTAAAAAATTTATTTGTATATATATATTATTGCACTTTAGGGACTCTCTCTTTTTAATCCCAAGAAAGAAAAATAACATACTAAATCCATGAGTTAAAATAATACACTCACTACATGAGTTAAAATAGCGTGCTCAGTATGCTAGCTAGAATAATGTTCTCAATACACGAGTTACAACAATGCACTCAATACATGAGTTAAAGTGTGTTCTCAATATGCTAGTTAATGTGCTCAATATATGAGTTAAAGTAATGCACACTCAATATGCCAGTTAGAACAGTGCACTCGAAACGCGAGTTAAAACAGTCCGCTCACCGGGCGCAGTGGCTGAGGCCTGTAATCCCAGCACTTTGGGAGGCCGGGGCAGGTGGATCATGAGGTCAAGAGATCGAGACCATCCTGGTTAACATGGTGAAACCCTGTCTCTACTCAAAATACAAAAAATTAGCTGGACATGGTGGCACATGCCTGTAATCCCAGCTACTCAGGAGGCTGAGGCAGGAGAATTGCCTGAACCCAGGAGAATTGCCTGAACCCAGGAGGCAGAGGTTGCGGTGAGCCGAGATCGTGCCATTCCACTCCCGCCTGGGTAACAGGAGCAAAACTCCGTCTCAAAAACAAAAAAACAGTGCGCTCAATACACAAGTTAAAACAATGCACTCAATACACGAGTTAAAGTAATGCACACTGAATACACTAGTTAAAACAATGTGCTAGTTGAAACAATGCACTCAATACACTAGTTAAAATAAGGTACTAAATATACTAGTTAAAATGGAATATGTACAGCCGGTGCCATCAGAAGCTTGAAATGAGATGGAAGCCTACTATGGGTTCTGGTTATAGGTGGGGACGCCATTTGCCACGCTGACATTAAGATGCTTAACATAAAGGTCATTGAATGCTCACAGCTACGCGTGATTATCAACATTGGGCAGGTGAGGAACCTGAAGCTGAGAAGGAATAAGGAACTTGCCTAGGAGCACACAGCTAAATTCTATGTGGCTATACAGCGGTGCTGGAAATGGAGGGGTGGAAATGAGACCAGGCTTGGCCTCTACCCCCACCCCACACCTCCCACACTTCTGATCTCAGTGCCTGCCAGTTCTATAAGGGTGTGTACAGAGGACCATGAGAGGTTTGTTAAGGTCTGCAGTTTACCTGGAATACTAACTTTGCTAGACCCTGAGCAGAAAGGACCCTCGGCCAGGCCCTCAGGTGTGAAGGTCAGTGGTTTGGAAGAACATGTCACACTTTGGTCCTTACCAGCTGCTGCTTTCTTTCCCTATATCTGTGAACATGGCTGATCTCTCTACAGTACAGTTGACCAAGGGCAAGGGATCCTTTTTGTAGCAAGGAACCACAAGCTAAGCCCCTTTTATTTTCCCATTAGCAGAGCCGTGGCTGGTTGGCTTCTCAGATAGCCCTCTAACCACTGTCTTTGTTGTGTGTACCAGTTTGTTCTTTAGTCCAATGTCATTTTGATCTGCATTGTCTGAATGTTTGTGTCCCCCCCAAATTCATGTTGAAATATACTCCAGAAGAGGTGGGGCTTCCAAGAGGGAATTAGGTCATGAGGGCCTCACCCTTGTGAATAGCATTAGTGCCCTTATAAAAGAGGCCAGAGAGAGCTTGTTTGCCCCTTCCTCCATGTGAGGACACATAGAAGGTGCCATCAGTAAGGAACAAACCATCATCAGTCACTGAGTCTCCTGCCTTCTTGCTATTGGACTTCATAGTCTCCAGACTAGTTGAGTAGTTAAAGTAATGCACACTCAAAAAACAGTGTGCTCGATACACTAATTAAAACAATGCACTCAATACACCAGTTAAAATAATGCACTCAATACACCAGTTAAAACAGTGCTCTCAATACACCAGTTAAAACAATGTGCTCAATACACCAGTTAAAACAATGTGCTCAATACATGAGTTGAAACAATGCGCCCAATACAGGAGTTAAAGTAATGCACACTCAATCTGCCAGTTAAAACAGTGTGCTCAATACACCAGTTTAAACAGTGTGCTCAATACACCAGTTAAAACAATGCACTCAATACAGGAGTTAAAACAATGCACTCATACATGAATTAAAACAATGCGCTCAATACACCAGTTAAAGCTAGTTAAAACAGTGCACTCAATACACAAGGTAAAGCAATAGTCTCCAGACTATGAAGCCCTATGTTTCAGTTGTTTATAAATTACCCAGTCTAAGGTATTTTGTTAGAGCAGGCTGAATGGACAAAGAGAGCACCAGAGTTACAACATGTAAAGTCTGAGTGAGCCTTCAATACTGTAGCTGTGCATTAACAAATAGGTTTAAATATTTAAAATCTTTTAAAGTTTTTCGTTTTTAGCTAGCATCACTGACATCGTTTTTTGCTAGTTGTCTCCTATTCATCAAAGAGGACAAAGTGGGCATTTGACCCATTGATAAATACGCTTGTCCCTCAGTGTCTGCATGACCACCCAGAGATATCAAAATCTAGGCATGCTCAAGTCCTGCATCTGACCCTCTGTATATGTGGGCTCCACATTCTGCAAATACTGTAGTTTCCGTCCACACTTGCTTGTGGAGGCAGAACCCTTCTGTATGGAGGGCCAATTGTATTTATTTCTTAAAACCACGTTAAAAGTGGACCGGTGCATTTCAAACCCATATTGCTCAAGGCTCGGTTCCAGTTTGTTAGATATGTCAGTGTTTTGTGATATAAGTGTGAGACCCAATGAACTACTCAGTTCCAACTATGAACTTTAAAACATCAGCTTGTACTGCTTTGCGTTTACTTTTTCTTTAGTGTGGTGGATTTCACTTAGCAAGCACTTTTAAGTAATTGAATTCATGGAATGCTTAGCTTTTGCAGCATCATAGTTTAAAGAATAAATTGCAAGATCAAGACTGAAGCATGTAAGTGTTAGGTTTTATTTAATGTGTTTTGAGTCTTCTGAAGAAGACATGGAAAAAAACTGATTCTGTAGTTAAACTTGAATTGCCTTAGTTGTGTAGTTTTAAGCCTTATAAAATTGCTAGGTTAAACTGGCCCTGGGTGGCTTCTAATCACTATCTTATACAAAACTTAAGTCAGTTCGGTGGCGCAATGGCGCATAAATAAATTGAGATTTAATTTAATCATTATTGCATGCAACATTTCTACATAGAACGATTTACACTTCTAATGTAAGAGATGATTAATGTCCTGGTGGGAAAGCTGATGTGATTATCAGCTTGTAATTATCAAGTGAGTTAAATTAGTGTCCAATTACTACTTCCCATTTTTTTTTTGTTTGCTTCTTGTTTCTTACAGAGTTTTGACAACAGACGGTATCTTCATTGGATAGCCTTAAATGTTGAACGTGGGAGGACACTGTTTTTATAGCACATGTACCTGTATTTCATTGTAGGTGCTAGACTGGATCGAGAACCACGGAGAAGCATTTCTGAGCAAACATACGGGTGTGGGGAAATCTCTCCATCGGGCCAGAGCATTGCAGAAACGTCATGAAGATTTTGAAGAAGTGGCACAGGTAAAACAGTGGCTTCCATTATTTTATCCCATGAATACCCATGTGGTTGATTCTGGATTACAGTTTAACTGCATTTGAGGTGAGTTAGCCTTAGCTTGATGTGTTTGACACCTCAGATGAGGTAAATGCTCTGATTCCAGAGTGACGTTGTCATTGCCTAGCAAAAACATGATTTTGTCAGGTGACCCTTTCTAAAAGTGATGTTCTTGGAACAGAAATGTGGCTTGGATGTCTTTTGCCTTGTTTATTGTACCAGTGCCTGTTGACTAGTTTGTGAAATTCCAATTTATAGTCAGGAAGTGACAGTTCCTTTTGGGTTTCTGTAATGGTAGGCCAGGCATTGCTTGTCCTGTTCCATTTCTTTAAATGTGTGTGCCTAAGAAACAGGAGCCAGGAGTCTAGTGTGTTCTGAGTACGGGATCTGTGGGGTTTGAGCAGTGGCGATAATATGCACAAGCCGTGTGACTTTGGACAAGTCGCTAACTCAGTAAGGTTAACTTTCTGATCTGGAAAATAGGCCCAGTAATTTATTTAATAAGATTTTTCTTGTAGTCAACTTCTTTAAACTAGTGAGTTGTGGCTTGATGAAGTAACACAACAGAGATTCAGAAAGGAAGTGGTGAAATTTTATGGTTGAATTCATTTAAAAATGTACTAAATATAGATATATTATATAGAACAATTCTGGCATTCTGAGAAGGAGGAACCCAAAATTCGAACCTCATGTTGACGTGGTGGAAGCGAATCATACAGTGTAACTTCTGCAGCCACAAGACCTAGCTGCAGGGGCCCTGGGTTTCAGAATTAGTTTTAGACACTGCTGTAGTCTCCTCAGGAAGCACTTGGATCCTTTTCGCATGCAGTTTTGCAGAGTCAAGAACTTCATCGTGATTAATTTGAGGGTCCATTCCTTAATTTTGTACAGTGATTGTGAGTAGCTCTATCCTGTTGAATGAATCCATGCTAATTGATGTATAGTGTGTGGTATGAATAGCGGTACTGCATTTTCATGGGCTAGTGTTAAAAAAAGAAATAAAAAATGCTTTTCATGTGAAACTTTCTGCAAATGACTGTTAGAAAGAAAGATACTCTTTAACAGTGACCTTCTACCTTCGAAATAGTTGTTCATGTTATTGTTCCTTTTTTAGATTTAAAAAGTTATGATTACAACAGCCAGTAAAGCCTAGAAAACTCAGGTTCGAGGAAGAATCTGGTTTTGAGAGCACAGGAGATATCTTTACTGTCATTAGTAAATCCTTGGCATAGCACCCTTCATAAGTACCTGCTCTGTGAATTCCTAAACCTTGCTCACTCTTTTCTGCTTATCTCCTTGGATTCAGATTACCTTCCAGAGATGTATGTAACCTGTCACAAAGTTATTATCCAGGAAGCCATTTCTGTCAACAGCTTTTCGTGTGTGCCATGTAATTATCTTGTCTTCCTGGATAAAACAGTGTGTCATTCAGGAAAGCAGGAGACCTTGAGTTCATTCTCCGTTTTTAGAAGAAAAGCAGACAAGTAACTCCCTGGTCAGCACTTAACTCATTCATCTTTTGCAAGGAGGATACCGTGTCCGTGACACATGGACATACAGAACGTCCCCACACTTCTAGCATGCTCTAAATTCTGATTGGCATCAGCCATTGGAGCATGCAGATCTACAGAATAGGCTGTCATTTTGCAATAAGTTCAGTTGCTACTATAAGATGTATGACTTTTAATCTTTCAAAATAAATTACTAGTGGAGAATTCAGGGCAAATTATTTGCTATCAAGCATTTCGTTAGATTGGCATGTATTTACAGGATATCAAATCTTCTCATCTGCTTTTTTTCCCTTATTGAAAATAACTTCTAAAATTTACTAATATACTCCACTGCTTTCTGATCGCACAACAGTGGAAAACTTAATCTCTCTGAGCCTCAGTTTTCCTCGCTGTGAAATATGCCTAATATCTACCTTCACCAGGTTGCTATGATGAGAATACATGTAGAAATGCTGAAGCTCGGCAGGCACTCGTGGTGCCATCTTTGCCTAGAACAGTAGGATGGTTCAGATTCTTCAGATCTTTTGGTGAATACTAGCCTTGTATTGAATTTTTGGATAGGAGTCACTAGAAGGCAAATGCACCTGAGACTTTGCTTTTTTAGCGGTAGGGCTGGTCTCACTAAAGACGGCCAGAGGCTGTATGTAGAATCCAGCTGGAAGTAATGAGACTGCTCTTCCTGCAGTCCTCCGCAGCACTGGAGGATGCCGAAGTCCTATTACCCCTGGGCCACCTCACCTAGCTAAAACCCTCCCACTCCCACACCACAAAAAAGTGTGTGTCTGGTCAAATGCTGAGAGACATACATAGTTGCCTGTGTTATGCTGTGTCTGGAAAAATCCATACCGCTTCTTGGGTATGCCCTTCGCGTTTGTGACGCTGTTCAGTCTGTCCTGTGCACACGTGTTGCAGGGCAGTGGGCTTGTCTCCTGGGATGCCGTGTTTTCCCTTCACCGATAAAAAGAGGATCCCTGGGAATGTGTGTGCCTTTTGGATGATAATTCTAAGTTACTTGAGGCTTTGAATTTGCACTGCAGATGTATTGGCCCATCATTCTTCATAACATTTCTGTATTAATAAAATACCTTGGAAGTTTTCAATATCCAGGCTTTGTTGTCCTTTAAACCAAGCAAATATAATGAAAGTATTTAGGCCTCAAAGGCTCATTTTCCTTCTTTTTCCTATCTGTTCTAAGATCCAAAACTCCCTTATCTTCCATTGAATTCTAAGGATAGCCTCTGGTCACGGGTTAGCGAGAAACAGCCCGGGGAGCGGGGGCAGGTGCGGGAGGAGCAGAGTCTCCTGCATGTTTGCCTTCTAGTGGCTCTTTTTGTCTCCTTGAGTCTTACCAACTGCTCAAGAAAAAAGAGGACACTAGTTAGGCCCCCACCCTGGCCTGGCCTTACCCTATTCCCTTTAATCCCCATGGCAGGGATGACCCTCACACCACAGATCAGAAAATGGGCCCCGTGTGAGTTGGCTCGGGAACAGGATGGTAGGCACTGGACAGGAGAAGCCCGGTCTCTCAGACTCTCAGAACGCTCTCTGACCTGACATCCTCCCCACTTTAAGTCCAGCGTCTCAGCTTCCCCTCATGTGAGGAACTGGGGCTTAGGTAGTGGTCATTTTAACAATCCTAGCTCTACTGACTTTCTTGGTGGGCAAGTTATTGGACCTCTCTGTGCCTCACCTGTGATATGGGAATAAGATAGTATCCATGTCCTCCCACTTTTCTGACGCACAGTGTTAAGTGCCAAGAAGGGAGCATTTCTGATGAGTGTGGTTGACATTAGCACAAGGAAATCTCTGTGCTCCTGTTGCAGAAAGACCCAAGGAAGGTATTTTTCCCCAGAAAACCTGGCCAGGGGTTTCGAGGCATGGGTGCTGACACAGGCCCCACCAGCCCTGGCACCTTTTGCACTCCCTTGTGTTCTTCAAGGAGAAAATGAAAAGTGAAATAAACGATGGCTGATTCACATCTCAGATCATTCAGAAATGCTCTTGTTCCTTTGGGACATTTAAATAGTATCTTTACCTGTTGGAGTAGAGGTGGGAAGGCTTTAAGAAATGTAATACTTGGCTGTTGGGAGGCTCTGTCATCTTTAGATCCACTTATCAAATATGAGAAGTGCACAATTCCAAGGCTGCAGTGGTGATCAGGAGAAAGCAGGATTCTGCTCTTTAGAAATGTGTGTCTGTGGCACTCTGGGTTCTGGGTTCAGCTTGCTGCACTGTTAGCTTCATTCAGCATGGAGGCCCTGTTGTGCCCATCTTAGAGATGCAGACACGGGGGCTTCAAGGTGACGCTTAGCCGGGGGTAAACAGAGACCTCCAAGCCGCCTTCCCTCGAAGGAAGTCACCTGCAGGTGTGGCCTCTGATGGTCAGAGAACCTTTGTAGACAAGAGCACATGCAGACTCTCTGCAGCAAAGCCCTTGGTGCTCAAGGCTGACCGTGGTCACAGGGGCCAGAGGCCCAGGTGCCAGCTGTAGCAGGGGAGGGCCTGGATGAGAGAAGCTCCAGAGTGCAGTCCAGAATTGTTCCATATGTGAAGCTGCTTTTCAGATCTGTCTCCCAGTGTATCTACACATGCACATTCACATCTGTCTGTTAAAAACTCTGTATTCACACAGATAGCTCCAATTCCAGCCCAATGCCAAGAGTTAACTCAAGTTTTCTCCTTTTCTATATTTATAACTCCCTTTTCTCAAATAGAGAAACCTGGCTCCTGTTAACCCTCAGGTATTGGCTTACTTGCATAATTCCATTCTCCTGATGTAACCTGTCTCCCAACTCAGAGGCCCCCTCCTCCCCGCTTTACCCCCTCATATCCTGCTCAGACCCTTACTGATGAGATGCCTTCTCTGCTCCCCTTATGACTGTGTTTGAGTAGGATGAGGATTCAGCTTGTTTCTCAAGGGAAACTAAAAGCGGGCTTCCTGGGCCTTCTTAGAAGGCCTGAGCTCTGTTCCTTTCCTGCCCTGACATTCCCTTCCTTTTCTAGGCCTCCCCTCCCACCAACAGACCCCTCAGTAGCAGCTTCCTGTAATAGCATCAGGGCTCTCGCATGCTTGCCTGTTGAAGGAACCCACTTATAGCCTCAGATTACTAGGAATTAAAGTGATTTTTAGAGTATTTTAGATACCTATTTACACTTTGAGCTCTTTAAAACTCTGGTTGCTTTAGAGCCATAATGGTTATTATTTCCTTTTTCTCAAAAAATGTGGCCTGGCAAGGTTGTTCACACCTGTAATCCCAGTACTTTGGGAGGCCAAGGCGAGAGGATTACCTGAGCCCAGAAGTTCAAGACCAGCCTGGGCAACACTGTAAAGCCCCATCTTTCCTAAAAGTATAAAACGTAGCCAGGCATGGTAGCACGTGTCTGTGGTTCCGGCTACTTGGAAGGCTAATGTGGGAGGATTGCTTGAGCCCAGGAGGTTAAGGCTGCAGTGAGCTGTGATCGCACTGCTGCACTCTAGCCTGGGTCACAGAGCGAGTCTGCCACGCAGGCTGGAAAACAAAATAAAAAAATATATAGCCTTACGTAGAAAGAAGATGAGCACACAGTTACTAATAAGTAGAAATGTGTGAAAAGGGACAGCAACTTACATTTGTTTGGAACTTAACCTTTAGCTTGTACTTGGAGGATTATCATAAAGCATTGTATCATACTGAAAGACGTAGACTGGAGCTCTCCGCTTGGTGATAAACTGGAAGAAAAAGTGAAGCAGGCATTTGTTGCTGGGGATTGTCTCCTGACTCCACCTGGGCAAAAATCTGAAGGCTCTGAGTCACAAGACAGCCAGTAATTGCCTACAGATAGTCCGTAGCTACCTTCAATGCAAGAGCTCTGCCATGGTGTTCAAAATTTAACAATCTAAAACAACAGCACAAAAGGAATTCTGCAGAGAATTTCTGTAATCATCTCTCCCCATTATATTTTTCTATTTCATTCATGTAAGTGATCACAAATATCACAAATTGACTGTGTTGCTGTTTATTATGGAGCCCAGCTTGGCTGATTTGCTTTTTATTTACCTTCTGTTCCTCTTGGATGTTCTCTTGTGCAGAACACTTATACCAATGCGGATAAATTACTAGAAGCTGCAGAACAGCTGGCTCAGACTGGGGAGTGTGACCCTGAAGAGATTTACCAGGCTGCCCATCAGCTGGAAGACCGGATTCAAGACTTCGTTCGGCGTGTTGAGCAGCGAAAGATCCTACTGGACATGTCAGTGTCCTTTCACACCCATGTGAAAGAGGTAGGGCACCAGGACACCAGAAGATAATCTGGGCCTGAAAGGGTCTTTGACTCTTTGGGAGGAACCTGAATCTGGTTGTAATGTGAGAAAGATGGCAAGTTGTAAGACGTAGCCCATTAGTGCTGAGTGTGTCTGCATGGACGGGGAAAAGCAGGACTTGTGCTGGACTTCCTGTTGTGTGAGTGCATGGCTGCCTTTGCTGGGGCTGACCATAAAAAGAGGACCCATGAGGGTCGGGAGAGACAGAGAACGTCCGTTTCCATAAGTAGGGAACCTGCGTGTTGTTGGTTAGAGCTGTTGGGTGTCCTTTCTGGGTATGAATCTACCGTCATGATTGCCCTTGGATGTTATGAGACTTCTCTCAGATGCTAGTAAACGTGATTGTTACCTAATACTGAGTTTAAATGTGCCAGAGCCAACCTGGTACAAATAATATTAAACCTAATGTCATAGGCATTAGGTTTCCTGTCGATCAGCTTATCTCATGATATGAAATAATGTTACTTGGTGTGTGAAAAATAGGTGAGTACTAATTATACCTTGCATATACATGTTACTCTTGTTAGAAATTATATAAAGTTACATGAAAGAAACTATTATGTAGCTTTTGAGGAAAAGAGAATTTAAAATAAAAGTTTCTATTCAGGGTGACTACAGACTGAGTAGGCATGTCAGTTTACCACATCTTATTTCTGTGTAAGGAAGACAATCACCAAGGCCCTTCACAAAGGATCATAACATATTCTAATACAGCGCTTGATGAATTGGAAATGAGGGGGCCCTTCTGGGTAACTGGGGATTATCACATGGAAGCTCACGGTCATAGGATGGAAAGAAGGATCTGGAAGAGTAGGACTACTGGGGAAAGAGGGGAGGGCGAGGCCTGGCTTGCCTCGTTTCAAAGCATCAATGCTCAGAGACCCACCAGTTCCATTAAAGGAAAAGAATTGCACTGCCAGTTCTGAGATCTTGGGCAGTTAGTCCTCAGTCAGGTCATTTGTCGCTGGAATGTTTTGACTGCAGATTTCCCTCTGAAACCTTGTGAGGCCAGGGAGGAGTGGAGGAGAATACGCAGCAAACTGCTAGGATCCCCGGGCTGTGTGCTCAGTCCTGCCCAGGCTGCTGCCTGGTGCCCTCAGTCCTTTCTGCGGAGTGGCTGGTGCTTCTTGCTCCTGAGACGGTCATCGGGATGGAAACGGGCACAGCTAACTTCTTTCCCTGCTCCTCAGAATGCCGTCACTCAAATTGCTCTTGAAAATACTTACAAACGGGCTATTATTTTGAGGAGACGCGTTAAGTGGTCATTGTTGTGTGGCAGTTTCTAGTCATTGCTGCACGTGCCACCAGGCTGGAAGTTTCCTGCTTGTCTTGAACTGAGCCTGTCTCTTGCTGCCCTCCTGCCTCTACTGGCTCCTTGCCCCAGCCTCCCTGTGGCACTGCTACCAGAGTAATTTTTCTGAAATACGAATTCGAGTAGGCCATACCCCTGCTTTGACACCATCAGTGATTCTTCTGGTATGCAGGGAACAGCCTGAAGATTTCCGCGTCCTCACAGCATAGATCACATTCTTCCTTGCAGCCTGTTGAACACAGCATCCCTGGATCCATGACTCTGTGGCACCTTTGAGACGAGGACGGGCATAGTTAGCTGCTTTCCCTGTACCTCCTAGAGCTCCCCCTACACGCACCTGTTCACGGCACTTGTCATGTGTGTGATCATGTGTTACTCTCTTTGCCATTGGTGTTAGCACTTTAGCCTCCTTTTTCCTTACGTGTTTTTACACCCTAGCTGAGCGGGAAGGAGAGGGTTAAGGTGATCTGTGTATGAAAACATTGTGCCATAGTTCACTAAGCTGTGTGACATCGAGAGAACACGGGCCTGGAGCACAGCAGCCTGGACCCTTCTGAGGGCAAGTACCTGGGTAGGGATGTCCAGTCCACAGGTTCCTCATTTGGGGCCCAGGGACCGCAGCTGCCCTGGACATCAAGATACCATAAGGGAGAGGCAGGAAGAGTGTCAGGCAGCTGGGAGTGGCTCAGAGGCCACATCAAGAGGCAGGGGCAGAGGGAAGAAGGCCTCGCATCTGTGGCATGTGCCGAGCCAGGAGATTGGAGCTGGTATTTGTGTGGCAGCTTAGTAGTCTGAGGTGAGGATCTGGCTTCCTTATAAGACGGAAGACTCTTCCCACCAAGAAGTGTTTATGATTTAAGTCACCTTTTCAACTCTGCAATGGTTTTCAGAGAGCTAAAGGATAACTGGAGACACTAAAGGATAACTGGAAGGAAAGTGTTTTTTTCAAAAGCTGTTCTCTACAAATAATAATTTAAAAAATTTAGCTGGGATTGGTGGTACTTGTAGTTGCATCTACCTGGGAGACTGAGGCAGAGGATACTTGAGCTCAGAAGACGAAGGATACAGTGAGCCGAGATCACACCTTTGCACTCCAGCCTGGGCAGCAGAGCAAGACCCTGTCTCAAAGACAGAAACAAAGCGCTTGTCCAGAGGCTTCGTCTGGGTTCATTGGTTTTTGTAACAGCAACGTTTTTAAGGAAAAACCTTCTAATAAGAGCATCCACTTACAAGACCATGGAGTCCGTATTGTCACTAGGTTTGGAAATTATTTAAAAGTAAAAATACATTTTGTTTTCATTGACTTACACAATAGGAACTTCTAGTATGTCTGAGTTTGTACACTCAGGAGACCTTTGATCAGTTTTAAGGACTGAGTGGTTCCCTTTGACAATAGCAGGATTTTTTGTGCATTCTGTGAAAGGGCATCTCAGTAGCAGAGAAGCTGGCATGTTTACCCCAGTGTGCTCCGTCTTACTTGTGTGCACCTCATGTAACCCGTGACCAAGGAGGGACTGGGGCCCAGTTAGGGAGGGCATAGCAGGACACATGTGTGCCCGTGTGATTGGAGCGTAGGCCTTCAGGGACACTGCCCACAGGCTGGAATGCAGCCTATCTCTTCCCCTCAGTGTGCTTGGACTTTGTTTTTAGCCCGAGCCATTTTCTCAGTAGATTTATCTTTCCCTGACCAGCCAGAGAATTTCCCTCAGTTCTTTCTCTGTACTGTACAAAAAACCCGAAAACTCCCAGGAATACTTGGTAGGTTCCATGCATGAAAGAGTGGTTTCTTCAGTCATTGTATTTTGAAGCTGGTTATTGAATGAAAACTAAGATAAGCTTAGAACAAGTTTAATTAGTTTAAAATGAAAAGCTAAATGGACCAAGAAGAGGAAATCATGCTAATTTGCTAGGTGTTTGCATAAAGTCACTAAATGTATTTACATATCAGATGAACGAAAAATTGCAAAAAGATACACATTATCTGAATCATTTCTTCTTCAGCAGATCATACAATTTAAAATTACATAGAGAAAGACAGAAAAAGTAGCTTATCTTTTTCATTTAGGCAAAATCAAGAAGCTTTTTAGAGGTTGCCTACCAAAGGCTCTCCTGGCAGAAGTTAAGATTCCTTACTGCCCAATGTCCCACAGTGGTTCTCTTCGTCACTGTATCTGGAGTATAGTTGTCACCATCTGTCTTTGCAATAAATTTCTGGCCCTCTGATGAACAAGTAATACAAACATGAGGTCATAACAACTCACTTAAAAAAGTTGTGTGGTTGGCCAGGCGCAGTGGCTCAGACCTGTAATGCCAGCACTTTGGGAGGCCAAGGTGGGCGGATCACCTGAGGTTGGGAGTTTGAGACCAGCCTGACCAACTTGGAAAACCCCCATCTCTACTAAAAATACAAAATTAGCCTGGTGTGGTGGCGTATGCCTGTAATCCCAGCCACTCGGGAGGCTGAGGCAGGAGAATCACTTGAACCTGGGAGGCGGAGGTTGCGGTGAGCTGAGATGGAGCCATTACACTCCAGCTTGGGCAACAAGAGTGAAACTTCGTCTCAGATAAATAAATAAATAAGTAAAGGTGTGAGGTCAAGGTGATATTTGCTTAGCGTTAGCTCAGGAATCTCCTAAAGAAACCCCTGGAAGAAGGTGATGGTTGAAGTCTTGTTGAAGGCCAGGCCTTAGACTCCAGAAACTGAGAACTCTGGACTGTGATTCTTTTGCCCAGATGACAGAATAGACACGATCCTGAGAAGAGAGAAAGGGAGACACATTTTACCTAGGGGACAAATATTTTCTACCTCGAGGTAGAGTGCAGCAGGTGGTTGATAGAGATTTCAGCCTCAGTTTGCTCCTCAAGCCCAGATTTGGAAGTATTCCAGGACACCGTTTTCCCTAAAAAGAATCCTGAGATTCTTAGCCTGCTTTTAGAACACTTGTAACTTGGTGCTTTGTTCTGTTTTTGTTTTGTTTTTTGAAGTATTTGAAAGGAATGTTGATTGGCCTAACGTAAGTTTGGGTTTTATTTGGGGAGATCTTTCTCCTCCTGCATGTGCCATCCGCTCTCAGTCCCACTGCGGTGTGCATTCCCTTTGGTACTGTGTGTATCGCTTCTTCACATCAGTTCTGTTGACAGTGCTCCTGCTACGTACGTGTCCTTTGTTGTTTGTCCTCCTTAACTTTTGAATGCATTTTTCACTGTTTATTTGTTCATTCACTCTTTTTACTGATTCATTCCAAAGTGTCTCTCAAGACAATGGTAATGTGCGAGGAGATGATACCAAAATTGAATGACCAAAAGAACATGCTTCTGCTTCTGTGTGTCCAACATTTTAGACATTTGTTTATTTGTTTCTCTTGGTAGATTTTAAGTTCCTTGAAGCCCAGGAACTTGTCTCACTTACCTTTGTGTTTTCACTAGCTAGTCTACCTCCTAGAATTGGCGGATACTCAGTGAAAGCCTGTGCAGTAACGTCTATTTCTAGCACATTATTCTGAGATTTAATGATAGATTTAGTGATTGAATGAAATTTCCATTTTCAAATGCAGCAAAAGCATAACTGTTTTCACTCATTCATATTCATTCAACTTCATTCTCAAAATTAGGTCCTGAGTTAACTGATAATTATGTTCGAAATTTGTGG